TTAATTTATGATTTTTGGTTATTTCAAATGTATATATATACAACTTAAAAAAAAAATCATTTTGTTTTACATCCTCCACGTGTGAAATTAATTTATGATTTTTGGTTATTTCAAATGTATATATATATATATATATACAACTTAAAAAAAAAATCATTTTGTTTTACATCCTCCACGTGTGAAATTAATTTATGATTTTTGGTTATTTCTAATGTATATATATAGAACTTAAAAAAAAATCATTTTGTTTGACATCCTCCACGTGTGAAATTAATTTATGATTTTTGGCTATTTCAAATGTATATATATACAACTTAAAAAAAATCATTTTGTTTCACATCCTCCACGTGTGAAATTTCATAAGGCTTAGCAACTTACGGCAAACAGCAAACGAGTACAAAGTTAGTAACTGGAAGATATAATTGTTTGCTCTACTTTATTTACTGTTCTATAAGAAAAATAAGTTAGAACTTATTTGTAAATAGTAATTATCTATTTACATATGTATTATAACTGAAATGTGACTAGTCACGAAAACACAGCCAAGACAGGTCACTTTGTAAAGGTCACTCTTATATTCTTGGATAGGGTAACATAAGTGCACTGCATCATTGCAACTTCTGTAATGTTAGTTAGACACGGCTGAAAAGGTCAGTAAAATAAAACGTATAATGTTATGAGATTTCAGCTATTTAGACTAAACACTTGTGTTTTCGTGTTATAATTTGTAGTCATTCTAGAATGAGAAAAGCGTAATTTGTATTTATTTCCTAATTTTTATGGTGGTTACGAGGTCAATCAAATTGTTTGACCCCATATGGAGATTCAATAGTGAAAATAGCAGATGAAATATAAAGTTTTTTCTTAAAAAACATTTGATTACTATCTAAAGGTTATAAAGATTTTGCATGTGAAAATTTTCTAATGCACAAAAGTATTTTTAATCTTAAAATCAAAATTACTTTGCTTGTTGATAGTCAACATTCGAAAAGAAAAAAGGCACGAGAAAAACGTTAATTAAAAAAATCTTGAAACTTAATAAAAATATCTAACGTTTTGTGTACAAAAGCCTTGTAATGTTAACTGATAATCTGCAGAATTTTGTGAAGTTACACTTACTCTATTAAAAGTTGTAGCTTGTAAACTATAACAAGCACAAAATGGTTACGGAGTCGGTCTGTGAAAGCCTTGTAATGTTAACTGATAATCTGCAGAGTTATGTGAAGATACACTTACTCTATTAAAAGTTGTAGCTTGTAAACTATAACAAGCACAAAATGGTTACGGAGTCGGTCTGTGAAAGCCTTGTAATGTTAACTGATAATCTGCAGAGTTATGTGAAGATACACTTACTCTATTAAAAGTTATAGCATGTAAACTATAACAAGCACAAAATGGTTACGGAGTCGGTCTGTGGGAAGGAGGCCATTAATATAAAGAAGATTAATTAGTATTTAAATATTAGTGTTAAAACCAAATCAGGTTGTTAAATTGGTGTTTTTTGATTTCATGAAACTGCCTTAGAGCGATGATCAACAGTTTGATGTTTGAATTTCTGTACAAGTTTATTTCTCCAGATTATTAGCTAGTGAAGTTGTATACATGTATTATCCCACTCTGTTATGACAATATTTTTTTTTGCTTCTTTATTATATGAAGGCCACTGAGAAAGTGGGTCTGTTATAAACAACAGAGGCTGTTTCAAGAACAACATAATGGAGCCAGAACAAACCAGATGAGAAATAAAAAGAGTGCAGAGATTATAAAACAAAAACAACAACAAGTTTATGCACAAATATTTCAGGTACAGTGTATGTTTACTTAGCCTTTATTCTGTGCAGGTTCTGAGCTAGAATGAAATTATATGATTATATTTTGAAATTAAAACATACACGCAATTTTGTTTAGTCATAGTTGTCATAATCAGTTGTTTTCAGAAGTAAAAAAGTCCTTATGAGAAATGTATTTGACCTTTGTGCTAGCAAGTAATGTGAATAACATCAAACCATACTTAAAAAGATTAATTCAGAGATGATAATCCCCCTCCACACTCAGTTCAGCTATTTTTCTCATGCTTCATTGCATGCCACTAGCCTTGAGGCAACTACCACCTAATTTCACGTTTTTTAATGTAAACTGAGCTGGTGCAAGATGATGTCATCGTGCAACAAAAATCCTCCACCAATAGGAGAACAACACAACATCCATGTACAGTAACTCTCCTTAGGCGCTTGCACACTTCATTCTTTGGCGAGTCCAGACAAAAGAGGGGCACTAGATGTGAAGGTGGTCATTGTGCAACCAGTGGAAACTTTCATGGGATCTGTTGTCCTTGACTGTCCCTCTACCTCCTCCTCTACTTGAGAAACTGTCACGAAGGCTCGATCATTCCA